ATGCTGACACCTTTCATCTTTAAATAAAGCTGCCAGCTGCTTTGACCTTTGCTGACCTGAAGCAAGAGTATCATCATTAATCTATAATGTTTCTTAATTCTCCATCTCTTCTCTCCCCCCCTCTCCCTCTACCCTCTCTCCTTCTTTACCAGCACTAGACAGTATAGTACATATCATTGCTCGTTTAAGTGAGGTCATTCTTTCATCTGGATGTATAGCTGATTCATATGAGAGTTGAATGTATCTTCTTGCAGCATCTGAAAACTTGCGTCTAAAGTCGGCCATCTTGGCACTGCAAACCTATAAGTGATATGGTATTAATAAATTGTCATATTGCCAGAGCTCTCCTTAGCAAAAGTGTATTCATTTAACCCCGCCCCCACTAATTAATAACCTTATAGATGATGTGAAGTTGTCCTTTGCTGACCTCTGCTTGTAACAGTCCAGCTCTGTTCAGGTAGGCCTCAGCCGAGACGTGGTTTTCATCTTCAAGGTACAGCTGGGTAATCTTTAAATATACCTCCATCTTGAAATCAGCAGTGTATATTCTAATTAATAATAATAATAATAATAATAATAATAATAATAATAATAATAATAATAATAATAATAACAATAATAATAATAATAATAATAATAATAATAATAACAATAATAATAATAATAATAATAATAATAACACGATTCACTTCTGTCCGCTCTCAAGTGGGATCCCACACAATACTTCAGCACTGTTACTCCATTGACCGTCTTCTTCATATATTTTACTCAGTGCTAGTCTAATGTTGGTGACCTTAAAGAGAAAGAGGGGGGGGAGGGGCAAGGAAGAAAAGTAAAGATTCAGTTCAATAATTAAAATACAGTACTTGTTCTTCAAAGGAAACTATCCTAGGTTGAATGCTTGCTAGTGCAAAGTGACAGACGTCCTTTACAATGTCTTTGCCTATTCTCGGGATTCTCTCAGCAAAGAAAGACAGGACGGATTTGGCATCAACAAGACTCAATCTTTTATCAAGAGCTGCATGTTCCTTAATAAATAAATATTTACTTTAATGATCATATTATCTTACATGATGTCAGGAAGGCTTCTAGTGCTTCCTTAAGTTCTGTTTTTTTATATTTTGACAATATCTGGTCCAGAAGGTCTTGGTAGCCCTTTCCACCAGCCAAGCCACCAGACATCTTACTGTGAACATAGGCAGCCATTTTGATTAAAAGCCTCGCCCACTCTAATGCATTATAAAATAATAA